AGACAATAGGCTTAAGTAAAGAAAAATGTTTTATAAATACCTTGCGCTAACCCATTGCGCCACTGGAGCTCCAGAAAAATGTTTTAAAACAAAAAGTGAAAAAAGTCAGTTTAACGTCACTGACAACATCAACTTACTAGCTTTTGCCTAATTTTCATTGCGGAAGCATAAAATGCTTTTCTCACAAGTACACCAGAACACCAGCGACCTTTATTACATGGACATGTTAATATATAAAGAGGTGCCAAATTTGGGAACAGATACAAGCAGCACCATGGTACAGGCCAAAGACAATCAAGTTGGGGATTAAGCACAGCCTTAGAACAAAGGAAACAAAAAGGGGAAGTTTATGTTATTGTATAAATCTAGGGGGGGAAATATTAGTGTGAATTGCTCTGACATAGGCGCTATTCGGGACAGCTGGTTTGAGTTCTCCTCCCTGGTCCTGCTATTATTCCAAAGCTCAGTTGGGGAGGGGAGAATAGTGTAAGGAGATAATAGGGCATAGTATATCCAAAAGACTGCATCACCCAAATCTAAGTGAAGAAATAACTAGTCCCTGACCAAATGCAAAGTGACAGTAGAGAAGAAGCGTGTGAAACGTCTGCCAAAGGCTAACAATTTGGGGTGAGTGTTAATGACCACCTGGAAAAGAAACATTTCAAGGAAGAAAACAGTATTAAGGATAAAGGCAAAACAATGTGAGCATGGCTCAGAAAGGTTTGCTGCCCAGTCAGAATTTGCTGATAGACTTTCTGCCTGTGACCCCTAAAAAGAGAAGCAATTACCCACTCTTTCAAGACAAGGAGGCAAGTGTAGCACAATAAAAATATAAAAGAAGCCCTACTGGGTTTGGCTCAGTGGATAGAGCGTTCAGCCTGCAGACTGAAGGGTCCCAGGTTCAATTCCAGTCAAGGGCACATGCCCAGGTTGTGGGCTCAATCCCCAGGATTGAGGCAGTCAGTCAATGATTCTCTCTCATCAATGTTCCTATCTCTCCCTTTCCCTTCCTCTCTGAAATCAATAAAAATATATCTAAAAAAACCCAAATAAATAAAAGCATGTACAATTAAAATTATATATATATACACACACACACACATATATATAAAAGAATCCAACCAATTACTAACAAATATAAGTCTGCACAGAGACATGAACGATTTTACATAAAATCACATTAATGTTTAAGTTAGTTTAATAGTAAATACATGACAAATGCATACTATGCAAGATGAAACTATATTTGGGGCAATGAAATCCATTAGATGAACATTTACTAGATTCCTTACTTTAAAATGATTTATCTCCATTTTATTTATAAAACCCCCTTTTAAAAAAAATCCTGTATAAAGCATCCCTATGTAGGATTTAATTATTCAGAAACCTAATCCTTTCACTCAATTTTTCATTTAATTTCTATCAGTAGTTCAAAAGTGTGGGGCAAACAACTATAGCAGACTATTAGTTCTAATACTCAAAACTTTTTCATGCCTCAGAAAAAAAATAATGAATACCACAGCAATACTATTTCAAGACAACAATTTTTAAAAATTCAATATTCTAAAATATTCTTAAGTTCCACATTCATTCACTATACAAAAACGTAGTAAGTGTTGGTTATGTGTGTGGCATTGCTCCAGATACAAACAATGAACAATATGAATATTTATTTATTTTTTATAAGAGAACATTTATTGGGTAAATTACCAAAGTATTTTAAATAAGATAAGTTGGAAAGTTTGCAAGAAGTTTGATTAACATTATGATTTTTCTAACATCCATCTTCATTTGAAACCTGCTTCATTAATGATCAGATATGTAGAATTAACGCTTGGTTTTGTTATCAAAATTAAACTTTTGAATTGTCATTAGTAGATACCAAATTTTTCAATAAGTTCTTTATTTTATTCCTTATCCCTGGATTCTCTTTGTGAAAAGGGCCAGATATATATTACTATATATCAAAATATTCCATCTAATCTGAATATTGCAAAGGGAAAATAAGAAATTAATTTTGCTCCAGCTGCTGCATGGAAAATGCTAAATACTCTTCTTTGTACCTAAGAACCCTGGAAGAAGAGTTGTACCAAAAGAGGACTTTAACAGAAAGTTGTTATCAACATCTTTAGGCTGCAGACTTCATACTTGTTTTAATTTAAAAAAAAAATTATAAACTAAAATTCTATCAATGTAAGTATTCTTATTGCATTACAGAAATTTTCAAAGGCAGGAAGTTCATTTAAAATCCCAACACTGCCCTAACTGGTTTGGCTCAATGTATAGAGCATAAACCTGCGGACTAAACACTTGGAGTGCGGGTGAATTTCCCGCCAAAATATAAGATGGCTCTGTCTTTTGGTTTTGTTCCATCCACCAAAAGGGTGGATTACAAACAAATATTTGGTAATACGCAGTTACAATCGGCCCGAGTTTACACGTTTCCCGCACTCCACCGCAAATCTATATGAACCGAGTTAAAGACGGCTCCCGCGGAGTACGCGCAATTCACGCGAGCCGACTTAACTCGTTTCCCGCACTCCAAGTGTAAAGGGTTCCAGGTTCGATTCCGGTCAAGGGCACATGCCCAGGTTGCAAGCTTGATCCCCAGTGGGGAGCATGCAGGAGGCAGTCAATCAATGATTGTCTCTCATTATTGATGTTTATATCTCTCCTTCTTCCTTCCTCTCGGAAGTTAATAAAAATATATATATTTTTTAAATCTCAAAACTTAATCCAGCTACCTTGATTTTTTGGATCATTCACGCCAACGAAAGCTAGCTGATGTCCTGAGGATATTTTTACCCTTTGCTACTTAATAGACAAATAAGTAAGTTACTCAGAAATAATGAACATATATAGATAATGAATATTCTATCCACCCGAGCCAACCGGGCACGGCATATTTATTTATTTTTAAAATATATTTTTATTGCCCTGACCGGTTTGGCTCAGTGGAAAAGAGCATCAGCCTGTGGACTCAAGGGTCCCAGGTTTGATTCCGGTCAAGGGCATGTACCTTGGTTACAGGCACATCCCCAGTAGGGGGTGTGCAGGAGGCAGCTGATCGATGTTTCTCTCTCATCGATGTTTCTAACTCTCTATCCCTCTCCTTTCCTCTCTGTAAAAAATCAATAAAATATATTTAAAAAAAAAAAAAAAATATATATATATATATATATATTTTTTTTTTTTTTTTTATTGATTTCAGAGAGAAAGAGAGAGGGAGATAGGAACATCAGTGATGAGAGAGAATCATTGATTGGCTACCTCCTGCACGCACCCTACTGGGGATCGAGCCTGCAACCCGGGCATGTGCCTTTGACGGGAATCAAACCTGGGACCTTTCAATCCACAAGCCAATGCTCTATCCACTGAGCCAAACCGGCTAGGGCTAGCATTATTTTTTAAAATAAATATTCACAAAAATCAAGGATTTTTCCTTTAGAGAAGACATGTAGTAGGTATGGGATATATCAGAGAGGGCTAGGATAGATAGTATTCTTTTTTAAAAAACAACAACATATTTTTATTGATTTCAGAAAGGAAGGAAGAGGGAGAGATAGAAACATTGGTTGCCTCCTACACCGGGAAATGAGCCCATAACCTAGGCATTGATTGATCAGCCGCCTCCTGCCAGGGATCAAGCCCGTCTGACCATGAACTGAACCATGACCTCTTTTTTTTTTTTTTTTTTAATATATTTTATTGATATTTTACAGAGAGGAAGGGAGAGAGATAGAGAGTTAGAAACATCGATCAGCTGCCTCCTGCACATCTCCTACTGGGGATGTGCCCGCAACCCAGGTACATGCCCTTGTTCGGAATCAAACCTGGGACCTTTCAGTCCGCAGGCAGACGCTCTATCCACTGAGCCAAACCGGTTTCGGCTGAACCATGACCTCTTGGTTCATCTCATTGGTTGATGCTCAACCACTGGGCAGCAGCGGCTGGGCCAATGTAGTATTCTTACATGTTGGTGTTTAGTGAAGATAACCTATTAGTCAAGTCTCCAAGATGTCCCCAATGATCACCACCACTTGGTAGTTATGCCCTTGCATAGTTCCTCCTGCATTGAACAGGGCTTACTTGTGTAGCAACTTCCAAGGCTAATGTCACAAGAGACATTGTGGCTTCCTCTGTGTTATCCTTTGATTGACTCACTCTGGGGGAAACCAAGATGCTCTGACAGGAGAAAGATGTCTTTTACGGAAATGAGGCCACTAGCACACAGCCACTAAGTAGCAACAGGTAATGAATACAGACTTTATCAATTATCTTCTTAGAATGCCCGTTTTAAAAGCATAAATCAGTCCGATAACACACCCCTAATTAAAATACATCAAAGGCTTCATGTTGTGTGTAAATTAAAACTCTAATTCCTCACCCTGATCTATGAAACCATTCATACTCTGGTTTCTATCTACCTTCATACCCTCACCGGCTTCCGTTCGTTACCTCTTTAACTTCACTCGCCCTCTAAGATTAATGAGGAATGTACTCTCTTCCTTGACCTGTACACATGTTCTTGGGCTTATACATGCTCTTCCCCACATTCTTGGGGGTGTTCTTCGCATACTCAGGGCTCCTTTATGTCACTCAGATCTCAGTTTAGATGTTCCCCCCCAAGAGAGGCCTTTCCTGAATGTTCGTTCATCATGAGAATCCCCTGGAAAGTTCTCACTAATGAGAACAAAACAAGGAATAAAAAGTTGGAGTTAGTCTGGTAGACTAAGTATATTAAATGAGAGAAGTTAAAAGTATAAAATTTGGAAAGGAGGATAAATGTCATGATTGTACATCTCAGATACACAAGAGAAATACATTGGAAAACCAGAAATATGTAAACTCTATGGCAGGAGGTTACCAATTGATGTTTGTCTCTCATCAATGTTTCTATCTCCCTATTCCTCTCCCTTCTCTCTCTAAAATCAATGAAAACAAATTTTTATCCGTGGAAAAATCCCATTTTGAAAAATGTATAAATACAAACTACTTACCCACTTAGCGACAGGACATCCATGAGAGCTTTTCGCTTCTTTTCCGGTATATATTACTTTTTCTATTCTTACTGCACTTCCTTTTTGCCCATACCTGAGTACAAAACACAGTGAAAAGAAAATAATTGCGATATATACTTTTAACATCTTCATGTGCATAAGGTATGGCTTTACAGAAGTACAAAAACCAAACACTTGTCATTATTTACTATTGTTAAAAACTTAATTTTGTGTGGCAGATATTTTGCTATATCCAGTTGCTTACTTATCCTTAAAGATCACTCTTTAAAAATGGCCTGGCTCCCAGACAGACAAAAAGAATGTGAATGGTGTTGATAGAGGTAATTTGAACTATTTCTTCTATTATGATACAATAATATAAAAAATGAATATTTCTGAATTTAACGAAGACAGCCTTGCTTTGGGAGTGTGTTGTTGGGTGCCCAGTGCCTCCTGTGATGAGTGACTGAGCAGGGACACCAGCAAGCGATTTTCTTCCTGGGCCCTAAGAAACATCCATCTCACACTCCTGAAGGGGTTCCATTCATCTCATGTTTGTTCCCAGAGGTAATTTCTCTGCATCGAGTCTGGTCCACAATAATATTTTAACAGGGAAGCATATTTCCTCACCTAGTCTCCATGATTTCCCTGACAGCGGCAACATTTGGTCCTGCCCCAAGGTGCGTATAATATGGGCCTTTTTCTTTTTGTATAACTCGATCTGTGGAAGGAATAAGATTATTAGACCCAAAGTTTTACAGAACTGCGTAGGGGCAAGGAAGTGCTATTTTTATAGTTTTGGGGTGTGTTTTTTTCCCAATTCAGAACAATGAATCTTGACAAGGTTGTGGTAAGCTTTAGCCATTAAAGTGTAGGGCAATGAGCCCTGAATTTAACTTTATGTTCCTAATTCATTCTTCCTCTGAGAATCAGAGGGGGGAAGGAGGGGGAATACATTTTAAGAAGTGGGTCATATTTATTCTCTTAATTTCTTGCTTTTAAGAAATCTATTAATAATTGAGGTACAAAATTCAGATTTATCCAAGAACAATATAGTTAAAAGCATAGTTTCAGAATCCTATTAATTGAGCCCAACAATTTCACCACTAAGGATCTGTTCTAGTCTACAATTGCACAATTATGTATTTATAATGCAAATGTAGACAAGAATGTTCCTGGTTACAATTATTTGTAATATCGAGAGATAGAGAGAAAAACCTTAACATCTGTAAGTAAGTGATAGGTTAAATAAGTTAGGAGATGTTTATATGGTGGAAAACAATAAAGCTATTAAAAACAATATGATTTACAATCACTGAAAAAAAAATCCAAAAAATTATAAAAAAACATTTTTTTCCCCAATTACAGTATACATTCTATTATTTTGTATTAGTTTCAGATGTACTAAATTCTTAAGGTAAAGAAGCAAATTGCAAAAATACAGTGTTTTAAAAGTCTTAAATTTTTCAAAATTTGAAACAAATTTAAAATCAGTATAATGTTAATTCATGTAGAAAAAGTAACAGGTTTTATTTTTAGAAGATGTTTGCATCACAATTCTGTACCATTTGAATTTTTGCGAATTACAGATTTATTAGAAAACAGTGTTTCTAACTTGGTCTCTTGAATCATGCCTAATTAGAGTCACTGTGGAATCAAATATTATTGGCCAGGCTGTACCCACCTACACCACAATGTCATCATTGAACTATTTTGATTGGGCACCAAATACAATTTGGGATTAAGTTCTGTGGCTTCTGCAGCAAGATCTATTGAATAGATTTCAATTTATTACTAGTTATCTAGAATACTGGTTCTTAATGAAGGGTGACTTTTCCTTGGTGGAACATTTGACAAGGTTTTTGGCTGTGACAATTGGGGAGGGGTGTGTGTGTGTAGGCCAGCAATGCCACTAAACCGAGACAATGCATGTCTCCCTACAATAAAGAATTGTTCCCTCTAAAAGACCAATAGCGATAAGTTTGAGGAACCCTGACCTGGATAGAGGTCATTGCCCTTATTTTGCTAGAACATAATACCTCCGGGGAAATCCTTTACCCTTAAATGTGATGGTCCCACTTGGGATGATTTCTGAGTGAGTCTGCTTTTTGTTTCTCTTCTTTAAGTTCCTATTTCTATAGAATGAGCACAATAACCTCACATGTAATTATTATAGGAAAACACAGTCCCATGATCATTGCAGATACTCAATAAACTTTGATGCCTCGCTGTCTGAACTCCTACACTGTGACTAGTTACTATGTGTAAGGAAAGAGTCTTGAACCTAGACAATCATCCTATTGAAGCTAATGCAAATGGTATCATTAGACTATCTCAGGTATATAAATTTTACAGATCTTTTTTCCATTTGCCATGATATTCAGAAAATCACTTATACTATTTGACTTCAGATTTTTAAGCAACAGATGGTGAATATTACAAACATAGACTGGAGTTTGGATTGCCTGTCTCTGAATTCTAGCTTAGTCCTTTAGTACTGTAATATTTTAAAAAATATATATTTTATTGATTTTTTACAGAGAGGAAGGGAGAGGGATAGAGAGTTAGAAATATCAATGAGAGAGAAACATTGATCAGCTGCCTCCTGCACACTTCCTACTGGGGATGTGCCCACAACCAAGGTACATGCCCTTGACCAGAATCGAACCCGGGACCCTTGAGTCCGCAGGCCGATGCTCCACCCACTGAGCCAAACCGGTTAGGGCTACTGTAATATTTTTTAAAGATTTTAAAATTGATTTTTAGAGAGAAAGAGAAACATCTATGTGATAGCAAGACATTGATTGACTGTCTCCTACACACCCCCTACTGGTGATCAAGGCCATAACCTGGGCAAGTACCTTCACTGGTAATTAAACCAGCAACCTTTGGGTGCACCAGAGGATATCAAACCAACTGAGCCACAATGGCCAGGGCAAAGAATTCAATATTTTAAAACTCCAAAAGGTTTACAAATTCTTCAACTAGTCAGTATTATGAATTATATAGCAGAGCATAAAAGCACTAGGCACTAAAAAAGAAATATCCCAGTTATAGCTCTTGACTGGAGGTAGCAATTACAGAAAATGTTTATGGTCATTTGTTAGTTTGTATATATATTTTACATTCTCTGTATGCATATTATATCTCACAATAAAAAAAATATTATAAGCAAAAGCTTATAGCTTTGAAATCCTTTTGTGCTCAACCACTGAGCCGTGCCGGCCAGGCATTTTTTTAAATATAGGAACAAACTGTAATAAAGTATAAAAAAAATTCATTCTTATAATATTCAGAATAAACAATTTGAGACATTTAGCCTGGAATCAAATCAGCTAATTTTCCACTTGAGAAAGTTTCCTGATTATGAGTTGAATTTCCAATTCACCTGAGCAGCATCATTAAAGGTCTGACAGAAAAATATGTAGTATAGAATTATGTGGTCCACCTTCGCTAGAATATGAATTCTAAATGCCACATATAAAAAAATACAACAAACAAAACTTGATTTAGTCACGACTGGAGGCAATTAATGCAGGTAAAAGGAGAAACACACACACCCTACACATGCACTTACCAAGGCAGTTGCAGCTTGGCAATTCAGAATCTTTCGTTGTGGACACCAGGTTTCTTGTAGAATTCGTTAAAAAGTTCATGGCATAATTATGAAAATTATGTGCGTTTTCTATTGGGGAAACTTCGGATGTGCCAACACTAGGTAAAAACACGTCTTCTTCATTTGTGGTAGAAACCACTGTGATTCCACCCGAACGTTCTACATTTACATTCCTGAGCACTTGTCCTGGGTCCGATGAAGGGGTCTCATGAGAGACGCTAGGCAATGCTGGCAGCATCTGATGCGTGAGTTGGTCTTCCACATCCTGCTGGAACTGTGTTCGGTCATGGTCAGCCATCACGTTAGCACACTGATTGGTGGGAGAGGAGGACTGGAGTACAGGATGGGCTTCCTGACTGACATGCACGATGGGCTGTACCTGAGAATGAGAAACTTCTTCTGTAAACGCCTGCCCGTTGGATTCTGTTTGTAAATGGAATATGGAGTGAGAATGCAGCGGATCCACGTTCATCACTTCTTCCTGTGCTAATTCAGAATTTCGCTCAAATTTTATCTGGGCCAGTGGAGGAAATAATTTCTTGTGTTTCAATGCTAAACTTGCTTGAGTAAGTGTTGTCCGTACGTGGGTTACAGGAGGAATTTTTCCCAGCCGAATAGGAAAATCACGCGGACCAATTTGACCAAATCTTTGAAATTTAGACGCGATCCAAATGTCATGTAGCTTATTATACTCATATGACAACTTTTCCTGCTTTTTCTGATCATTTTCTTGACAACCTGTGACGGCAGGCTTCTTTTTCCGCCGTTCTCTGGATGGAGCAGATTTTGTCTTTTTCCGGGTTTTGTTCTTTTGCTTTGTTGATGAGCCATGGTTATTTTTTACGCTGGAGCGTTGTTTCGGTTTTATTGTGTTCTTCTCCTGACTGTGTTTTTGCACGTTATACACAAGGTTTGGTGATGTACTTTCAACATTTGTTTCCTCTGGTTTTATATAATTGGATTCAATTACCGATGCAAGTTGTGTTAACTGGGTAGCAACATCTTCCTCTATTTGACTATGAACTGTATCTTGACATGATGATGGATCATCCTTTGAGTCTAACTTTTTGCTGCTGTCCAGTAACTGGTTGCAGGACCCCAATTCACCACTTGTTGATGGTTTCTCATGCAAATTTTCTGAACAACTGTCAAGAATACTGCTATTCTGAACAGCATTTTTATTGGTGTCAATTTCAGATGAACTAGAATTTGGTGTAAAAAGAGATGTGGAATTTTTTGCTTTTGAATATTCCTGTGGCTTCGGGGATACTTGGTCAGTAGCTGCACTGTTATGTGACATGGAAATGTTATTCTGGCCATTGAACACCACCGTGTTGCATGAACTTTGCTTTTCTACAGATGGACCATGGTGAAGGCTTTGAGGCTCCCCCTGCAAAAACGGTTCTTCGGGGTGTTTTGTTAGAGAATAGATTAAAGCTGTATAGTTAAGCAAACTAGCTGACATCTGCTCGTTTCCTTCATCCTTCTCAGACGTTGATGGTGAGGAATTTTCTGCAGGGGGTTTTGAAAGCTGAGCCAAAGCTTCTATAACATCCGCTTGCTCCTGCGTTAATGTCCTATCTGCCACTAGGGATAGAAGAGTTTGTTGAACTGGAGATCCATGTATTGGTTCTGAAGTTGGTATATTTTCTAGAGATTTTGGTTGATCACTTTCCGTGCGTGTACTCGTAGGACTCATGCAGTTGAAGTCTGCAGGATCAGGAAAAGACTCAGAGCCAGGCTTCTGGAAGACAAAAACATCGCTTCTCCCCGTAAGATGATCGCTGCTTGCGTTAGCAGCGATGGAGCTCATGGCATTGTTCTGGTTTGCAGTGTCTATCGGGGGTTTATAGGAATTGTTTTCAGACAGCTTGCCAAATTCTCCAATGTTGAATTTTGTAAAAGACACATCCGTTTCCGTGGGTAAGCAGTGTACATTTTTAATGCCATTTTTTACCGTTTGTGCAAACACATTTTGAGGGTCAGGTAGGACTTTTTTCGTGTCATCTTCAGAGTTTCCCAGTTTTTCACCTTCTGTCACAATTGCCTTAACCTCTCCTTTGACTTGATCTGTTACATGTGATTTCTTGCTCTGCGTCCACTTCTCCACTTCAATACCTGTCGTACTTTCTTCATTTTCAGTTACATTTTCAGGGGGATGTGGGTTCAATTCCGATCTTTTTTCTTCCCCATGACCACATCCACTGTAGTCCATGGATACTGACTTGGGGCCATTTACTGCTTTGTTTTTCGAATCTGCCTGTAAAACAAACACAGCAAATATTCATATTATCCATTTAAATATCTGAATAAGAGCCATTGGAACTTAACAATTAAAGAGAAAATAAATGCGAAGCCCCAGAGAATATTACTTTCACTTTTACATGTTCAGAGAAGTAATAAAATACCAGTAAGAGGTGTGTAGAGAGAAAGGAAAAAAAAAACTAGAAACTGTTATACTCTCTTGCCTGTTAATTTAATTATTTGGTATATTCATGTTTTGCCAAATACATTTTTTAGATAATTATAAATTGGTACCATTTCATGGGGCAACTTCTGTTATTTTTTTTTTTAAATATATTTTATTGATTTTTTTACAGATAGGAAGGGAGAGAGATAGAGAGTTAGAAACATCGATAAGAGAGAAACATCGATCAGCTGCCTCCTGCACATCTCCTACTGGGGATGTGCCCGCAACCCAGGTACATGCCCTTGACCGGAATCGAACCTGGGACCTTTCAGTCTGCAGGCCGATGCTCTATCCACTGAGCCAAACCGGTTTCGGCAACTTCTGTTATTTTAATGCAAAGTGCACTGAAGTAGAAAATGTATAAATCCTAAGTATATAATGTTGAATTTTCCTGAAAGAACACCTATATGCCAAGAATCCAATTGAAATTTCCTTCGAGTCATCATTCAAGTGCCAAAGGCAAACCATTGCTTTGACATCATAGATTTCTTTTGCTTATTATCAAACTACATAACTGACTGCCTTTCACTCAAAATTATATTTGTGAGATTTATCCATTTAAATATCTCACTATGAGCCATTGGAACGTCACAACTTGTTGAGAACACTTGTAATTCATGGTTTTGTATAGTAACTCATTATATTGATCTTTCAACTGTAGATGGCCATTTAAGTTATTTCTAGTTTTTGACTATTACAAGTATACTCCTATAGTTTTATTATATGCATTGTGTGGAGAGAAAATGCTGGGTGCTAGAGTGTGTGGATATGTCTGTATATCTTCAACTTTAGTACATCGGGCAAAACTTTTTCTAAAGTGGCTATCAATACACTTTCAGCCAATGATTATGAGAGCTCCAATTCTTCTACATTCTCATTAACAATTAGTATTTTCTGTCTTTTCATTTGGTCATTCTGGTGAGTGGGTAGTGATACAATTCCGTTTAAAAAATTTATGCTGAGATCAAATTCTAATAAAATAAAATTCAATGTTACCATTTAAAATTGTACATTACTGTGGTTTTTAGTACATTCACAATGCTGTCAAAAACTGACTCTTATCTAATTCTATAATATTTTCATCATCGGAAGAGAAACCTTATACCCATTAAGAAATCATATTCGGACTGGCCGACATGTCTCAGTGGTTGAGCATTGACCTATGCACCAGGAGATCACGGTTCAATTCGTAGTCAGGGCACATGCCCGGGTTGCGGGCTTGATCCCCAGTGTGGGGTGTGCAGAAGGCAGCCGATCAATGATTGTCTCTTATCATGCTGTTACTATCTCTCTCTCTTCCTCTCCCTTCCTCTCTGAAATCAATAAAAAAGTATTTTTTTAAAAAAATGGACATGATGATGATTGCACAACCTTATGAATATACTAAAAGCCAATGTATGAAATATTTAAAACACTGATGGGAGGAGCAAAGAGAAAAATAACTTCTATACTACTAACATTTAAACATGGCACTGGATGTTCTATTCAATGCCAAGGAGAGAAAAAATGAATATAAAAAATTAGGAGATTTCTTGTTGGATAAAGATGATACAACTGATTCCACAGAGAAATCAGGAGCATTTATTAAAAACTGATCAGAATTCAGAATTGCAATATAGTTATATCCAGAACATAAAATATGTAAGCATTATCCAATTGTATAAAACAACACTAATCAATCTTAGTAGAAAAAAACTATATCTAATTCCTTTTTTTTATTGATTGATTTGACAGATTGAGAGAAACATTGATTTGTTATTCCACTTATTTACGCATTACTGGTTGCTTTTTGTATGACAGAGACTAAATAAAACTAGAAATGAAAACGGTGAAATAACAACTGACACCACAGAAATATAAAGGATTGTAAGAATAGACTATGATAAGCTATATGCCAACAAGGTGGCCAACCTGGACAAAATAAACAAATTCCTAGAAAAGTATAATCTTCCAAAACTTAATTAGGAAGAATAGACCCATAACAACTGATGAAATTGAAGCAGTAATAATAATAAAAACGAAACTCCCAGCAAACCAAAGCCCTGGTCCAAACAGCTTCACAGGGGAGTTTTACCAAACATTCCAAAGAATTAACACCTATCCTCCTCAAACTATTCCAAAAAAATCCAAGAGGAAGGAACGCTTCTAAGCTCATTTTTATGAGGCCAGCATTATCCTAATTCCAAAACCAGATAAAGACTACAAAGAAAGAGATTTACAGGCCAATATCCATGATGAACAAGATGCTAAAATCCTCAACAAATATTAGCAAATCGGATCCAGCAATATATTAAAAAGATCATGCCTGGCTGGTGTGTCTCAGTGGTTCAGCCTCAACCTCTGAACCAGGAGGTCATGGTTCAATTCCGGTCAGGGCACGTGCTTGATCCACAGCAGGAGGTCTGCAGGAAGCAACCGATCATGATTCTCTCTCATCTTTTTTTTTTTTTAAAATATATTTTATTGATATTTTACAGAGGGGAAGGGAGAGGAATAGAGAGTTAGAAACATCGATGAGAGAGAAACATCGATCAGCTGCCTCCTGCACACCCCCTACTGGGGATGTGCCCGCAACCAAGGTACATGCCCTTGACTGGAATCGAACCTGGGACCCTTCAGTCCGCAGGCCAACGCTCTATCCACTGAGCCAAACCGGTTAGGGCCTCTCTCATCTTTGATGTTTCTATCTCTCCCTCTCTTCCTTCTCTGAAATCAAGAAAACTATATATTTTAAAAGATCATACAACATGACCAAGAGGGATTTACTCTAAGGATGCAAGGCTGGTACAATATTCACAAATCAATAAACATGACACATCACATAAATTGAAAGACTAACTCACATGATCGTATCAATAGATGCAGAAAAAGCATTCAATAAATTCCAACACCCAGTTTTGATAAAAACTCTCAGCAAACTGGGAATACTAGTAGAGGGATCATACCACAAAATAGTAAAGGACATATATGACAAACCTACAGCCAACACGATAGTCAATGGGGCAAAAACTAAAACCATTTCACTGAGAACAGGAGCAAGACAGGGATGTTCACTTTACCAATTCTTATTCAACATAGTGTTGGAAATCTATTGCAACTGGGCCTGCAAACGAGGTAAGTGCCCTTGACTGGAATCAAACCCATGACCCTACAGTCCGCAGACTGATAGTGTTACAGTAAACCAGTTAGGGCAAGAGTTCTTATTCATCATGTAAAGGGGCTCCAAAAAATTAATAAGGAAAATGATTCAATATAATAATACTGAGTACAGAATGGACATATTCACTCCAGTTGAAATTCAAAGACTCAAAACCTACTTAAATATGAGAAGTCAAGCAAATGGCAATAAGCACTTTTCATCCATCCAAGTGGCAAAAAACAAAAAGATAGAAATGTACGTAAGCAAATAATAATGTCACATAACATTTCTAATCAAGAAAGTGTGAGCAACCTGTTACTACATTCCCATTGTGACATAATGTAAAGACATCACTCTATATTTCAATCTAGTCATTGCATGGCAAGATATCCCCAATACATAAGCCACAGACGTGATGTTATCATGCCTTTTAATTCAAACACACAAATATTTGTCTAGCGCTACAAAAAAGCTGGTAGGATAAAGCTACAATACTAACAGCACTTACTACTAGGAAATGGAAAGGAAAAGGGGGAGGCTATTTATTTTTTACATGCTGTTTCAAGTTTTATTAACATAAATATCCAAACACACTGAAACTTTGATGGATACATTCCTCTACAGAGAAGATCTTGAGGTCCTTGAAAGGTGTATGTGCCAGCTCTGGCCAGTGTCGCTCATTTGGTTGAGCGTTTGATTCCTGGCCAGGGCACATGACCAGGTTTGGGGCTCCATCCCCAGTAGGGGGCATGAAGGAGGCATAAAGAAAAGCAGCTTAATTGCTATCACTGGTTAATCTTGAACCCAATCAATGTTTCTCACATTGAATTTTCTCTCCTTTTCCCTTCCTCTCTCAAAAATCAATAAAGCCATATTTTTTAAAATAAGATTTGTGTCAAAAGCACAATAATCCTCATTAATTAATGAGTGTAATTAAACATAACTGACCTTTATTATGTAATTATATCTCATATGGCTTTTTATTTTTTTTTATTTTTTTTAATATATATTTTATTGATTTTTTACAGAGAGGAAGGAAGAGGGGTAGAAAGTTAGAAACATCGATGAGAGAGAAACATCGATCAGCTGCCTCCTGCACACCCCCTACTGGGGATGTGCCTGCAACCAAGGTACATGCCCTTGACCGGAATCGAACCTGGGACCTTTCAGTCCGCAGACCGACGCTCTATCCACTGAGCCAAACCGGTTAGGGCTCATATGGCTTTTTAAAAACACTGAGCATCACAAGTCTAATGACAAGGAAACATGCTCTATACACTGCCAACTACTAAACTTGGACTTTAAGAAAACAATTTAACATGTTACGTTTCATTAGGGGCTAGTAAGTTTTTCTCTTCTGTATCCTCAGAAATCACCCCTGAACTCTTGCAAACACGTTCTATTAAATGTAATAGTGTGTGTGAGCATGTGCCCTACGAAAACGGTTGCTCTCGCTGCTCATAGTGAAACTGTGTGTTCATAGTGAAACCTGCCATTCACAGTGAAACTGAGTGGCTGGAGCAAACAGATTTACCACTACTGGTTTGGGGGGGCGGGGGGGGGGGCGCAAATTCAGGCCATGTCAAAAATGAACGGGCAAAACATGACTAGTATGGCATGTGAAATGTCTTAGTAAAGCTGTTACCAAAAACAAAAAAGTGAATGAGCATGG